ATATAACAAAAAAAAAAAAACCAGAAAGTATTCAAATCGATGAAATACCTGAATAAAGCTTTTACCACAACCAAGCTCGCTACAGGTAAAAGATCTGTTCATGTACATAAACATATTATATTAGCATTTAATAACTTTTTGTATTGTAACAAGTTTGAACATATACCTTTCTTTAGTATGAATTCGGGAATGCCTAGAGAGGTCAGATCTTCTTGAAAAGGCCTTATGACAACCTTCCCAGGTGCAGCTGAAAGGACGAGCATCACTGCAATAAGATTCTACATGAAGCAGTTCTAAAATATCCATAATATGATCTTATTGTGGGGAAACCTTTTTTGTAATATAGTAGTATCTTTATATGAATAATCAAAAATTCATTCAAGTTTTATTTCTCGTGAAATTCTCTGGTTTTTGGATAAAGGGATTCGTAGTATGGCCTTTGTAATTTTGCAGCTTTGTTTTAAGTATTACAATGCCAATCAAATTATTTTTTGAAGTGACCAAGCACTAGCTTTTGAAAACAAATAATAATCGTAAATACTAAATTGACAGGATGACACGATACGATGTTTTATAATTTTTTGTTCATGCATCTCACAGAAGGAGACATCATAAGGTATTAAAACAAAGTAAAGATAAAAAAGGGCGTACAAAAGAGCTGAATAAAATGGGCGTGCGTTAATATCCGCCCGAAAATAACGCTGTAATGAATGCATAAGAAAGTTGGTTTTATTCTTTACAAAAAAATATTATAATGCTATTGGTGTTTTTTCATAATAACAGATTTGGGTAAGAAAAATTTTTTTTACATCGTGATAAAGTGCTGCAAGGAGTTTTACGAATATTACACAATATAAATAAAAATAGATAAAAAAAAAGAGACTGCAAGAATTTATGTATGCTATATATTTCATATCTCGGAATTTCATACCTTCGTAATCCAATAGAAACCATAATTCTAGATCATAAAAAAAAAGATATATTAAAAAGATTTATTATGTAGCATATATATATATATATATATATTCGGTACACTGTAGTTTATATTTTATGCATTGGATAGATTAAACAATGACAGGGCGGATTTTCGGAAAGGCCACGGTTTCAGGGTTCACAGATTGCATGATAATATATCGTTATATCGGAGAGTGAAAAATTTAAGTATGGGATCGGCTTAAGCAGGGACGTAAACGTGCGTTGCAGATAATGCATGTAAACCAATTTCTTGGAACATAAAAATAAAAAAAAAACACTTTTAACGAGAAGTACGTAATAAAATTGACCGATGAATAGGATTGAACATGTATATTATTACGGTCAAAATAGCAAGGCTTTTCATATCGTGTCTTTTGCTTATTTTACAAAAACATACGCGCGATTTCTACGCAATACTTCTATGCAGTACTTCTACACAGTACAGGTAAATAAATATATATTAGACATTTAATAATTCTAAACTTTCACAGATCATCAAAAGTTTTAGTATTGATATAAGTTAAAGTAAGTACGTACTTACCGAATTTCACATGCGAAAAAATAGGTCAATTCATTGAACTAAGAATACTAGCAAAATATTATATTTTTAAGGTAATTGGCTAACTATAAGTACTACCTCGCGTTTCATATTATTGTAACTCAAGTTCCCGAATCCCGATAAAGTTAGCTGGCGTTAGCTATAATGTTAGCTGATTTATGTTCTTTCTTGAAAATGGATTTCAAATGGCTTTCGGAAAATCCTACAATAACGATAATCGTTTCATATTACTAGAGATAAACTCAATTTGAGTGACTAATCATATGCAGGGATATATAGACCTTACGCCAGTTATTTGATGTGACAACCATGAAGGTACTTGACTTGAAAGCCAAATAAAATTATTATGACACGTAATTGAGTTGTTCAAGTATGCCTGTGTCCAGGACATCAATGATCATCCAATAATCTAAAAGCAAAAGCCGCGTCAATTGGAATTGTTAGACATACATTTGCATTATCATATACAGATCAACTTCATTACGTTAATGGCGTCCTTTGTCTTTTTTTTTTTCTCTTAAATACAAATTATCCGATGAATTTTGATTGGTTCAGAGATCAGGCGACAATAATAATTGCATAGATTATATTCGCGACAAGATGAAGCCGCCATCTTTCCTAAAAGTATCAACTTTGGTTGTACTTGCAATGCGGCTGAACATGTTTATGTATGGCATAAGTCTAGATTACTTAAAGTTCTGCCGAGACTTAATAATCTATCAAAGGTAAGCAATACCATCATCAATTTTTATAGATTGATTTATTGGTATTGATAACAAAAAAGTACATATAAATTATAAAAATTATGTATATTATGCATATATTGAAACGGTTTAAAATTCTGGATTCAATTAAAAAAATACTTAAAAAATCATCTCCTCATCTCATCAGCATCATTCAAAGTTTTGAAAGTTTTTATGCAAGCACTAGTCATGTCTAGACGCGTCATTATTTCACTTTATATAGTAGTCCATAATCCTACTTTGAAAATATATATATATTATATTAGAAAAGGATAATTTGACTTTCTTAATCACGTTTTGTCAATTACAATACTTGATATACATATAATCTAATCAATAGTAAGGCCTTTCACCTGACTAATATTGAGATAAAATCAAATCTATTATGTAACACCTAATTTTCTAAATATTTACCTGTTATACGTGCTAAATATTACTGATTTTATAAACCTTTTCGGATTCTTATGAAAGTATAATAAAGTATAAGAACAATATTAGTTTAAAAAGCCTCAATTACTGTTCATAAAGTCAAAAGGATCCTCTTCATAACACGCAAAACAAAATTTACCGTATAGTTTATAATAGCAATCAGGTGCATGCATTAAATGCACCAATTTCAATACTATATAATATATTAATAATATTAATACGTGACATGATCAGACTTAAACCTCTGACACGCCAGTATGTGTGACCAACTGCCTCATATTTCCATCCCATAATTATTTTGGCATGTCTGTTAAAATGCTATGTCGTGAATTAACATTTAAGTGATTTGAATACTTCCAATATAAAATAACTCGTACACGTATTAAACTTATTAAGTATTATTAATTGCGCAAATTATATGCCTACGTACATACATACTATGTACGTACGTACGTACCTTTAAAGGTCCTGCATTAAGTGATATGAACCTCCCGAGTTTGTGTCATTACATTCTGTGGGTACACATGCCCTATATGATGATGTGTTGAAGTTATACATGAGAAATTTGCGTGTAAATCTCCTGAATTGGTGTTGTAGGTCTCACCTGATTTTACCTCAAAAGTTTCCATTTTATGAAACTTCGATAAGAACTGTGGCTATTACTACCACTAATTAAAAAATAACATTTTTACTTGAAAATATATTGTAAAATGAGTATACTGTATTTATATATATGTTGCAAATAGGGTCAAATGGGTCAGAATTCATGTAGTTTTGGAATTTCTTTAATAAAATTAGAATTTTAGGGTAGAACTTATATAAACCTACGCCCTAACTTTAAAATCTTATAAAATTCAAATTCCACTTAAATTCCGTTCTCACAACATAAGTACAACTTTATTGAAAAAAAGGCACTATGTTTTTTTTTTGATGTGATTACAGAGGGGTTTAACTGTACCTAATCGTTAAGTAAATAAATAATATATGTTGTATATATGTTGTATATATGTTGTGAGAACGGAATTTCATGGATTTGGAACTTCAGGGTTAGGGAGTATGTTTATATAAAATAATTTCTACCCCAAAATTTTAATTTATTAAGATTCAAATCTACTCAAATTATATTCCCACTTACAGTATTTATATAGCTTTTTGTCTACATACTGTACCTCTATATATTTCTATATATTTCTATATATTTCTATATATTTCTATATATTTATTATATATTTATTATATATTTATTATATATTTATTATATATGTATTATATATTTATTATATATTTATTATATATATATTATATATTTATTATATATATATTATATATTTATTATATATTTATTATATAGTTGGGTTTAAAATAGATGTGCTTATAAAGAGAATTCTTGTATGATGTGTTTATAGAAAGGGTGATTATAGAGAGGCCTGTCTCTAATAGCAATTTTAAATATATAATATATATATATATTTTATCGTTTCCTTGTAGTTTTATTAGTGTAAGATTTTAGCGGAAATTGTTGGACAATTTTTATATCTTTGAAAAAATCCTTGTTGCCGGTAACAGTGACAAATATTAAAAACTTTGGTATGACATAACAAATGATATTGGTCCTGTACAAAATCCTGGAGCTTAATTGTCGGAATGTAAGGATTATATATAATATTGATAAGGATTATACGTAGATGCAGACTTATTTACGTCACTTAATCACTTCTTATACATATAATATCTTATACGTATAGAAATTTATGCCAAACCGGTTTATAATGTAAATAAGTATGCATCTATTATAGGGTTCCAACGAATCTTACGTGTTATTGTCTGTCCCATGGGTTTTCTCGAATATTGCTGCTCATTGGAGTTTCCAACTAACGCTAAGCAAGAACCTAGAAATCGGTTAATTAGAAAATTCCTACCTGGTCACACGTAAGCTACCATTTATTTCGGGTTCAATCCTTATGCATGGCTGTGCATAATTAGTATGATATTAAAATATGCTATATATTATATATTACTATTATAGTTAGGTAAATTAATAATAATGATTTGGTTAATCATTAATTAGCCCAAATTTCGTGTTTTAGCTTAGAACGCCTACAAATATTAGGTAATATGCATTTGGGGGTGGGTAAAAAGAGATATATAATACTTATGCATGAAAATATGAGTAGTATATTATTCGTTATAGGGGCAGTAATTTCGCAGATCATGTAATATTAGTGCTTCTACAGTTTATAAATCAAAATCTTTAAATTTTAATTATTTTTATTTGCTATATATAATTTTTTAGTAAAACTCTTGGTACAGTTACTATCACCCATTGTTTAATATTCGGTATTTGTTAGTTATTAATATATAAATTTAATAAAATTCACTATTTTTTTAAAGGTCACGTGAATTATTAATCCGCAACCAAAAAATTGATCTTTAAGATTCGCACATGATTGCAACTGGCAATAATGTTGTTAAGATATAATAAATAGACAAACAGAGACGGTCTATCGTCTAAACCGTCTAGCAAGCAAATTTGCTTGCTATAATTTTTATATGCAAT